TACTACAAACACCAAATACCACTCTACAATGTCTATAAACTATAACTTTTCCTTCATCGTCATACCAAAAAAATCTGAGAAAATCACGCTCCGCTGGATGTATACTTATCTGTAAAAAAGCTCTTCTTATATCTGCAATTACACCCAAACATCCTTCCCTAAAGTGTAATAGTATGGCGGCAACTAATTCGATCAAGTTAGGACCCTTTTCCAGACAGCTGTTGAGTGACGGCAACCCTTTTCCTTCCACCGACGCATTGTAGATAGGCCTCGTAGTGGTCGTCGAATTTTCCTTGAAGATCGGTCGATGTGGTATATAATTACCCTGACTAGACTCCTCTTCCGGCGGGACACATTCTATAATACCTTCCTTGAGCCAATCCTTAAAAACACCATCGTAATCTTCGTACCTGCCGGCTGCCCGAAGTTTCTTTGTCATTGTTTCTAGCTATCGAAGAGCTAGCATCCTATTATCCTTAAGTTCTGGATGGCACTCTAACCATGGCAATCTCACTTCATAACGACCCTCGGCATTTTTTGTAACTGCGTCTATAAACATTTTTTCCACGTGTTCGTTGTGTTGCTTTTGTGTCTTACATTCGATAGGATCCCTAATCCCCAACACGTCCAGGTCCCAAAGATCCTTAACATCCGCTTCTTTGGCGTACATGGAAATAGTGGTCGCGGCCAAATTTATGTCTCCTTTTATTGTCGGTACTTTACCCATAAGTGTCCATCCTAAACGTGTTTCCATTGCAGTTAAGCCGCTGTCTAACACGTGTATCCTACCAGTAAACAATTTTCCTGCCACGTCCGCGCCAATGAGAATAGCTACCGTTTTCTCTTCACTGCAAACATCTGTTAACTTAACATTAATCTCGTCCAATTCCTGTAGCCACACTCCTTTGGTTACACTCGGTACGTCTGCACAAATCAGATCCTCTTCGAGCGCTTGAAAATTGCACCTGTATGTGTCATCCAGACTGCCGACGCGAATCAAATACCTGTTGTGCGTGGTGATGTTCGTTTTCTCGCCTCCGAAAAGTAAATGCACTAAATCTTGCTTCCCCACTGGTTCATATTTTAATCGTTCAGCCATTTCTTTTATAATATATGAATTTTGCGATCCAGTGTCTATCACCGCGCGCACAATCACCTCACTCGAGTCATTGCGTAATTTAACTTTTAGTGTTTGCATAAAAGTACTCGGCACATTACACGATATAGCTAAACTGCATTCTTTCTGTATATTAACGGCACTCAAAGAATTTTGCGGTTTCTCACTTTGCGTATCACTCCGACTTTCTTCTCTGCACATAATGTCAACGTGGCGACGAGCGCACTTCGTGCATTTGAGATACACCCGACAAAATCTCCTATTGTGACCAATTTTTAAACAATTGAAACACGCACGCTTTCTCTTCACAACCTCTTGTCTCTCTGCAAGGGACATAGTCTTTGCCTGAGTACATTTCGCACTGTCGTGATCACTCTTTTGACAAAATATGCAGACAACCTCTCTGCCCTTGTTAATTAAACTACGCGCACTTGGTATGTCTTTTCCTGTAGTCTGTGGCTTGGTTTTCTTAGAACGTTCTGTTTCACTTTGATCTCTAAGATTAAACCCTTTCACGGCCATTGAAATACGCAACTCGTTTTGTACTTCTAACTCTAAAAATTTAATCAACTTTGTTAACCGTGTTTTTGAAGCATCTGAGGAACTCACGGACTCATTAAAGTCATTGGTGCTATTCGATCGTTGCCATACTCTAAGCAATTCTTCTGGCAATGATGATTCCACCAACGGGAAAAGCATTGCTGCACACTTATCAGTCGCTACACCGAGTGTTTCTAATGCTCTCAAATATGACTCTATTTTATCATATAAACTCGAAAGCTGTACTTCTTTCTTCGACATGGCATTTTGAAGTACTAATTNGTCTTCTGTTACCTCGCCCTTAAACAGTTCGCCTATAATTTTCTCCGCAATATTTTCCAAATCTTTATGCTTATCAGCCATCAAAGTGTAAGCCACCGTTAACTCCGCAGTTCCTGCTGTAATACTGTCCAACAGAGCATTCAAAGTGTTTAACGCTTTTGTAAACGCTATACGTAAACTTGTCCTACTCCTCTTTAACTGCTCCATTGTTCTTGATTCACAAGCACTCTTCGCTTAAAACTGTTAACCCGTTACTGACACCCAAACGTCCTGTCACGGACGCCAATATTTTAAATGTCTAATTAACGTAGGCAGTATTTTTGGGTTAACTTGAATAATTAAATCAAGAACACGGTTTATACAAACACAATATATATTTCGAACATGAAAAAACGTACAATATTTGGAGCACTGCTTCTTACTTCGATGCTCGTGGACGACTGACTCCAAAAATCACCCTTCACAAAGGACTCTTAAAACATAACGTCGCAGCTCTTCAAGTGTGCGCTTCGCACATGGCCCCTAATCTAAACAGTGCC